TTTACTTAAAATAAAAAATGCAAACCTCGATAACATTGGGCGGAATGACATCGAGGACATCGGGCACCACCTGATGCTCTTCCATACGCTTACTGTATGTTTGATACTTAATACTGAATCACAAATACAGAAAAATCAACAAAATAGTCAACAACTTAGACCATGCTCATATTCAATTGAGAATTATATAATTAAACTGTACAATATACCAATCTGACTTTAAATTTCGCATTAAACTATTAATATTTGTAATTTCAAAAGTTAAAACTTATTATACCTAAATTTATACTGGTATAAGAGCATGCGCTTTACAATAAATGAACTTGACAATTTTAGTGCACATTTATATTATCGGTAAATAAGTTATAGTTGTATCAAATTTGGATGTACCTATACAGGGAGTACCTAAATGACAATTGGGTGCAATTGAGAACATTTATTTAGATCTTAAGTGGTATTCATTTTGCTATCACTTTTCTACCCTTACGTTCATTAGTTGATCACATTTAATGCGTTAGCTAATCACACAAAATATTTAATTTTATGTTAAATTCATTTGAAAATAAAACTGAATGTATTTTATATAAAATGGTAATCATGGTAATATATCTAATATTTATAATAAATAATAAATTTATTTATCGATTATTAGTTAATGAGTACTTTGTTTTTCTGAGTACTTTATATTAGTTAAAAACATGTTCTTAAATTCATAATAAATTATTATTATAATAAACAATTTATAACATACATCACATCCCTGGATCTAACCATCACAAATCATACTGGTCATCAAATTTAATTAAGGTTATTGTAAACATGAAAATTGGAAATTGAATGTAATCTTAAAATTCAAAACTTTTAATAATTTTATTAAATTAAACTCATAGTAAATATTACATTATTTTTAAAGAGTATTACTAATACTGTATTAGACATGACTGCATGTCAATTTATTAATATATGCTTTTAATTGTTCAAATTTGTCAAATGATAACATTTATAATATAATAATATTACATTTTATTAAATGTAATTCTAAAACAAATTATGTAATTATCAATGTACTTTGTATTTGAAAAAAATATTAAGATTTATAGTTTTGCCGACAATTTCGACACTTTTTAAGTATCACATGATTGAACACCGTTTGGTAATCATAGCCATAGCGAACTGGGCGTATAGTCGGGGTACATAACTGTCCCATTTGGCCTGAAAGAAGTTGCCGGCTATGGGTTCACCCAACCCGTGGTTTCGGGCGAAGTCACGTATTTTGAATTTATGGCGCCCTTCCAGATCCCGGTTCGACACACACTTACCACTAATATCTAGAGTACCAGGCTGTCTATACACTACGAATATATATCGATGCAGACCCGAGCCTCGGGGCGGACCTGATCCTATATATCCGGCCAACGTTTTACCAGACTGTATGTCGAGCCCCGGTATGTTGATTACCAACCAGTGTTTAAACTCTCCGTTCTTTGGGTCAGTACGTGTGGGCGCATCGGGATCTGTCATACATAGGGTATACAACGCCCCCTCTTCTGTAGGCCACCGAAGCTCTGGGATGTCTTTGACGAGTTTGGGCGCCAACTCATTACCCAATGCGACCGCATGACCGCCCGGGTATGAGACCTGTATCACACAAATGACAACTAATTTTAGTATCACTGTATCACATAATTTATACCCAGAATATTCTGTTTCTAAATTATTTTAATTCGGTTACCATTATATTAATTATTTATTATATTTTCAGCTTTTTATAAATATTATAACAAAATAGAAATATTTATTATACTGTACATGTACATTTTTAGAATGAATTAAGAAATCAAAATTTCTTATATAGTATATTATCCTTGATGCATTTACGTATCAAATGAATGTTAAATAACAATATGAAAAAGAATATGAACAAAATTGTATAAAAAGTATTTCTAATCAATAACATGGAGTATACTTTCTATCTATTATTTTTAAAGAATATTCTCATTATAGATCGCTTGACACTGTATTGAAGTAATGGATAATAACTGAATAGCAAAAATGCAAACCTCGATAACATTGGGCGGAATGACATCGAGGACATCGGGCACCACCTGATGCTCTTCCATACGCTTACTGTGTATTTGCGACCGAATACTGAATAACATATACAACAAAATTAATTAAACCGAGTGAACAGCAAAATTGAATGGACCACACTCATATTATGTTCATACCTAACTAAACAGTTTTATGACAAGCACAATGGTGTATATACCAGTGTAACTTTACACATTACATTAAACTTTTTAATAAAGTAATAATTATTTACTAATTATAAAATGCACGCGTTTTTTGCTTAAATAAAATACATAATAAAATAAGTTATTGAAACAAAAACTTTAATTAAAATACAAAATTGTGTTGAACACTATTAATATAGCAGTTGTACTAGTACATTATTGTGTACATTAGTACTTTTAGAACATTTCCACTGAATGCTTTACATTTTCATATTACTGTATATTTCATAATATAAAATATATAAAATTTTTATATATTACGGTATTATGAATACTGTACATGGTTTTATAAGTGGTAACCTTGATTATGATAATTATGCGCGATACTTACTAAATTTATCATAATCAATTAGAACCTGTATAACCTTGTAAAATGAATTTAGCAATCAAATGTATAACCTTTAGAACTTTATTCAAGTATAACATAACTTTTAACTTTATAAACTTTTAACTGTACATTTAATGTACAAATTGTACAACATAGAATATCACATTTTAGCACTAATAATATACTTTTTATCATGATAAATTAATACCATGACATATCAGTGTCCTATTAGTAAAATAGATACAGTATTCACTTTCTATGGGATGGTGTGGTGTACTAGTTTCACAAATCGGATACAAACTAGCATTAAATGAGAATAAATATCTAAAAACATAAGCTTGCACATTTCTCACAAAAGTTCATCACAAAATAGGGGCTTAGAATGAGTTTAACGGTAACGGTATTTACTTGCGGGCATACATTGAATTACATTATACTTTGCGTTACGATATCTACGGAGAGTGCAGTGAATGACATGAAAACATGTGTCAATCATAACAACAATTCACACACTTTTGGCCACAAAACCAATTGAACTATAAATACGTTTCAATCGCTATTCAAA